ATGATCATAGAAGAACAAAACATGATTGAATAAGAAATCAATAATGAAATTAAGAAGAGAAAAGAGTTTAGAAGAATCTTCTCTAAAGGGAGTCTCCACAGGGTTTTGCTCCCAAGTATAAAAGATTTAATAAGAGTTAGGTCTAAACAATGACCATAAATAAGTCCTAAAAACGTCTGGGCCTTCTTTGGATATATGGGAGAGTTCTGGGCCGAATTTGGAAATCTTCAAAACATGAATAAGTTGCGCAATTGAATTGCTTTCAGGTATTGGTGTGGCTCGACATCAGGGGTTGTGTCCATCGATACCTACGTCAATTTCTGTCTCTGAATTTTTTCTACTGCTTAAGTGGTCTGTAGCTTAAGGTGACTTTGTTGCTCCAGAATACTCCATAATCTCCAAATGCATCGCAAACATGTAAAAACCTGAAAAGAGTAGAAAAGACTCTCCAAAAAATAAAAGGACTCTAAAAACTATACCTTAATCATAGCTAAAAGCAGTGAAAATCGAGGTATATCAACTCCTCCAGACTTAGCTTTTGCTTGTCCTCAAGCAAAACACAAATGCCGAACCCGTGGAAGAGGTTTGAAAACACAGAAACTCCCAATCTCTCTAGCTTATTACCTTGATCATACAAACCCAATCCATGCACTAAACAGTTCAAGTCGAATCCTGACCACTATGTAATTCTCTGCTAGCCCACACAACATCCTAGATTCCATACCAAAGCACTCAACTATATCCATTAGGCTCTCATCGCTGGGTCTCATCAATCAAGTTAATGTTTAAGAACCTTCTAGACTCATTCCTGTACTATACCATAACAAATCAACCATTCATTTTCTTTTTATTTCTGGTATTCTTTCTCTCCCCGCGACTTATTCTTTTTAGAGAGTAAACAAAGGGGAACTCGCATACTGGATCGACACCCTCGGCATTTTTCCAACCTTTGTAATTGATCATTTCAAATAATGTATAATAATGGGATCATAGGAAACCTTCCTACCCCTATACACTATCTGAAAATCCTGTCAATTTCTCATTATTATACATATTTTTTTATCAAGGGAGAGGAATACTTTTTTTTTTTTATCACATTAGTCGATTTATCAGGTATGAACAAGGAGTCAAGTCCTACGAACACTAACCGTTTTGATGAGGTAAAAGGAAGAGCAGTGAGATTAGCTCCAGCCTTTGTGGATTATGTTGGGAATGGATGTCCTTAAGTTTGTTGGTTGGCCTTCTGGATTTTCCATTAGTCGGATTGATTTGAATCTGTAGTACTTAAGCAATCCAAGCAATAAACTCGAAAGAGAGATCATAATTCCTAATAAAATTTTGACTCAATAAAACGACTCAAAAAGAAAAATAAGAGTAAGAATAAGACTCAACAAGAAAAACGTAGTTAGTAACTGCCCTCCCCCAGACTTAAACGTCACTGTCCCCAGTGGCATTCAAATCCGGAGTAAACAAAAAAGAAAATAAAAGAAAAACACAAATAAAGGAAATAGAAAAACAAAAACCATACCAGTGGGTTGCCTCCCATTAAGCGCTTGTTTATAGTCAATAGCTTGACTTGGCGAAGTTCACGACTTAGATGGGGGAACATGGGACATGTGCTGCAATCTCGCCTTCCAAGGCGGTGTGTAAACATATCGTCTTTATGCTGCATCTGGTGTCGATTGACCCTGATTCTCTGCAGCTCTCATCTGCGCGTGAATTGACCCTGCCATGATTTTCCTGCAAACTTGTCTCAACCGAGTAGATACTTTCTTCAGGCAGAAAATCATTGATAGGAACGACATCTTCAACCTTGATCCTTGACAAATGATCAACAACTCCATTCTCAATCCCTTTCCTATCCCGTACTTCAATGTCAAACTCTTGAAGAAGAAGAATCCATCGTAGTAATCTTGGCATAACATCCTTTTTCTGCATAAGGTACTTGAGTGCTGAATGATCTGAATGCACAATTACCGTTGAACCAACCAGATAAGGGCAAAACTTCTCAAAAGCAAAAACCACAGCTAACAATTCTTTCTCTGTTGTCGCATAATTCCGTTGTGCATCATCAAGTGTTCTACTTGCATAATGGATAACATGAAGTCTATTGTCCTTCTTCTATCCCAAAACAGCTCCAACTGCATAATCAATTGCATCACACATGATCTCAAAAGGTAAATTCCAGTCCGGAGGTTGAACTATTGGAGCACTCACTAAGGCATTCTTAATATGATTAAAAGCAGCATGACACTCAGCACTGAAGTTAAACTTCACATCCTTACAAAGCAAAGCTGTTAGTGGTCTGGCAATCTTACTGAAATCCTTGACGAACCTCCTGTAAAATCCAGCATGTCCAAGAAAACTCCTCACAGAGTTCACGATATTTGGTGCCTGTATACTTGTCATAACCTCTATCTTGGTTTTATCAACCTCAATACCAGCACCTGAAACTTTGTAACCAAGAACTATACCTTCCTGAACCATGAAATGACACTTCTCCCAATTAAGAACCAAATTTTTCTCTTCACATCTAGCTAGAACTTTGCAAAGGTTCTCCAAGCATGCTTCAAATGAAGACCCATAAACAGAAAAGTCATCCATAAAGACTTCCATGAAATCCTCAATCATGTCTGTCAAGATTGACATCATACATCTCTAAAATGTCGCAGAAGCAATGCATAGCCCAAATGGCATTCTGCGATAGGCGATACCATAGGGACAGGTGAACGTGGTCTTCTCCTGATCATCTGGATGGATTGGTATCTGAAAGAATCCTGAGTATCCATCAAGAAAGCAATAGTACTTATGATTAGCTAACCTTTCCGGCATTTGATCAATGAATGGCAGAGGAAAATGATCCTTCCTTGTTGCAGCGTTCAGCTTCCTATAGTCAATACACATCCTGTGGCCCGTAACAGTCCATGTAGGAATCAGCTCATTCTTGTCATTCTTAACCACTGTAACACCTCCTTTCTTAGGAACCACATGCACTGGACTAACCCAATCACTATCTGAAATAGGATAAATGATCCCTGCTTCCAACAATTTCATGATCTCCTTCTTAACAGCATCCTTGAGATTCAGGTTTAGTCTCCTCTGATGCTCAACTGAGGACTTAGACTCATCCTTAAGGTGAATCCTATGCCTACACAAGTCTGGAGAGATACCTGTAATATAATCAAGAGAATAGCCAAGAGCTTTGCGATACTTGCGCAGCTTGCTTAGCAATAAAGTGAGCTCTGCCTTGTTTAAAGAAGCATTAACAATGACAGGGTAAGTAGAGTTATCACCAAGAAATGCGTACCTTAGCCCTGCTGGAAGCGGTTTAGATCAACTTTAGGAGCTTTTTCTGGGCTCCAGTTGCCAATTATTGGTGCTTGGGAAGATATGCCAATTAACTCCTCTTGAGCAACCAATTGCATTACATGCTCAGTTCTATCCAGCAGCTTACCATACCCGTCAGGAACTGTAAATATTGAAGGGATTAGAGCATGCTTCAAAGGATCAGCAGGTGTCATCTTCATGAGCAATTCGTCAGCTAGAGATGAGATAGTATCCACATAGAAAGTCTGCCCATCGATGGTAGGCTTCTTAACCACCTTATTCATGTCAAACTGCATTGTAAGATCACCTACATCAATAATGGCACCAGTTGTGGCTAAGAAAGGCCTTCCCAAGATTAGAGGATCTTTAGGTTCTTTCTTATAAGATAAAATAACAAAATATGTAGGAATGTAGCTAGTACTGACTTGTACAGGTACATCACATAGGATACCATCAGGTCTACGAACAAATCGATCAGCAAGAACAAGAGTGATTTGCGCAGGCTCTAAATTTGTCAAACCAAGCCAAAGTGCAACTGAACGTGGCATCAAGTTGACACTAGAACCAAGATTGCACAAGCATCGCTCAAAACTCTCGTTAAGGATACCACAATTGAGAACAAAGCTACCTGGATCTGGAAGTTTCTATGGAATCTTGTTCTGAATAATGTCGCTAACCTGTGTAGACATCGTCATCACAGCTTTCTCAGGAAGCAAATCCTTAGTAACCATCCTCTTCACATACTGTCTGATCATAGGAGAAGACTTCACAACATCTATAAGTGGTATCTCTACAATCAACTTATCCATCATACCTTTGCATCTAGCATCATCAAGCTCTTGTTTGGACCTCCTGGGACTCTTGGGAAATGGAACCTTGGGTTTGGTAGCCCTTCCTGCAACTGAAATCGGGTTTTGGAGAATTCGCACGTTTGGGCTGGGTTGGTGTTGATCGACACCCTGTTGGTGTCGGTCGACACTGTCACGTTCTGTAGTGTCTACCGTGGCTGGTGTCGATCGACACCCAGTAGTGTCGGTCGACACTGGTGTCTGGTCTACAAAAACTGCAACATCATTTTCTTCTAAATTAACGATTTTGGCTGCAGGAAGCTCTCGTTGAAGCACTGGATTTAGATGTTTTCCACTCCTTAACTCAATAACACGAACATCTTCTCTATACATTCTCAATTGCTTTATTTGATTGTTCAATATTTGAATCTTCCCTTACAAATCTTCAGATAAAGCAACCAATTTGTGATCAATATCGGTTATTTGCTTCATTTGACCTTTGAGAAACTGTTCGAGCATTGATTCAATCGTCTTAGTGGTGTCGGGTGGAGGGTGGGCTTAGGTTGAAGAAGCATAATCCTGAATGAAGCTTGTAGTTTGCTGAACCGGTTTCTGATGTGTATATTGTTGATTGAAGCTCATGTATCTCTGTTGATTCATCTTCTCTGAAGTGGCTAAACTGTCAACCTGTGCAACATACTGAACTTGCGTTTTCCTTGCAATGTCAACGCTTTTGGTACTAATGCTGGAATCTAAGCTGTCAATCAACATTGTTGCATCTTCTGGATATCTTGACATGAAATTCCCATTACTAGCTGCATCCAAAGACATCTGATTATGCAATCAACTCCTCTGAAGAAGATACCTAACAACTGAACTTCACCGAAACCATGATGCGGGCAATCTCTCTGATATCCTATGAATCTGATCCAAGCGGCTTTAAATGCTTCAGCTGCTTCTTGAGAGAAGGTAGAGATCTTCATTCTCAGCTCCTCAGACCTTGCATCATTATAAAATTTATTGAGAAAAGCAACCTTTATTGCTTTCCAAGTTGTCAGAGATCCAGGCTTTAACTGCTTAAGCCAAGAAGATGCTTCCCTAGCAAGAGAATATGGGAAGAGCTTGCAGGGAAGATAGTCATAAGAAACACCCTCAATATGATCCATAGGATGATCATGTGCTAGACCATGAAAAGGGTGGGTACTCACAAGAGTATAGAAAGCAGGGTTTATCTCGAATTCGCTTCTTGCCAATGAAGGTGGTCCGATTGCAGACCGATTGGAATAGAAGAGATCCGGTCTGTTGTAGTCACCAAGAGTCATTCGACGACCATCTGCTCTAATTTCTTCTTGGTGTCGAGCGACCCCATCGGCGATTTTTGGTATCAGGTTTCCCTGTTCATCTATTTTCTGACCCTCTTCGTTGTATGCATGACCAGCTCTGTCGCGTAACACTCCAGCAGCATCAGGTATTACTATCAGCATCTTGTAGTTGCGTTTGAATTCCTTAAACTCCTGAAACACAAGAAGAAGAAGAAATAAAAACACGTGAGTATCAAAAGAAAAGAAAAGCTTAGACTAAATTCTACACCTAATCTAATGGTGAATCGAAGAGAACTTCGGCAATGGTGCCAAATTTGATATGAGTCAAATCAACACCATAAAAACTCTAAAGTCTCTCCTGTGCTGACACATCAGTTTTTTCAAGTGTTCTCAGCATGACACCTCATTAAAATCAACAGCCAATCAGAACATTTTGATTAATACACCTCATTTATATTGACCAATAAAAACTTACTATTTTTCTATATCATCTTATATACTTTACAAAATTAAAATTAGATATGGGCCTAACCCAACCAAACTACTTTGAAAACTAAAAACTATATAAAAACATGGGCCTAAAATTTCTTATCTAGAAAACTTAAGCATAGGCAAATAAACCAAACCGAATGTACCGAACCGATGCAAAAAAAACTGAACCAAACCAAAATTTAAAAATAACCGAACGGATATTAAATTTTATAACCAAAAGAACCAAAACCGAATGGATACAAATCAAAATATTTTAGGTAACCAAAAATATCCGAAATATAATTATATTTTTAAAAAAATTTAGTTATTTCTAAACTAAATAATTAAAACTTATTTGATATTAAAAATACTCGAAATACCGAAAACATATAAAAATATCAATAATAACTGAAATATCTGAAAATATTCAAAGAAAAATAAATGAATGTATATTAAATTTTAAAACCGAAAGAACCCGAACAGAACCAAAACCGAACCAAAATTTAAAAATAATTGAATGGATACTAAACTTTATAACCGAAAGAACCGATAACCGTATGGATACGAATCAAGACTGAATAGATAACCGAATGCCCATGATTAAAAACCTTATCTAAAGGCCTGACTGGTTGAAACGCAGCAGTTACGGTTGCGACTGCAGGAGTTTACAGAATCGAACGATTGCAGTTTCAAGCGTTATAAAAAATTTTGAAAGACTGGTTTAGCAGTTAAAATTGGTGCATTTTTGGGAGCTTTATGACTGGTTAACGAATTTACGTTTAGGGTAGGAAAATTACGGGTTTCTGTTTTTGGCAGAAAAATTACGGATTTACGTTTTTGGCGGGAAAATTACTGATTTACGTTTTACAGCGTTTACGGTTATGAATATGGGAGTTTACGGAAGGGGGCTGTTGTAGTTCCAAGTGTTTGCAAGAGTTTTATGATTGGTTAACCAGGAGGTGCTATTACGGTTAAACTAAAAATAACAAAAAATTAGAATTTATAAAGTATACAAAATATAAAGTACCAAAAATATTATATTGCTATGATAAATGTGAAATTTAAATATAACTAATAATAAAATAAAATTCTTCCTAATTATTCAAACTAATTAAATTTTATACTCAAATATACATTTGTTTCATAAAAAAAACATCATCAAGTAATATGCAAATTACAAAAAAAAAGATTATGACAAATAAAAAAAAAAATATTTTCAATTTTTGGGTGTTCCGGGTTAATAATATTATTTTAATACTTAATTAGTATCTTATCATTCTTCAGTTTGGTTTGATGCTATGATTTTGATAGAGGAAGAAATTAACATTTTAAGTATAAAAATCACCACCATATATTAAAGTTTTGGGAAAGAAGCTGAAAATATGACATTGTTGATGTAATGTGTAAACAAGCAAAACATTATTACAACTAAGATGTCATTTTTGTTCTTTAAGGTCTAATTAAATTTATCTCTGAGGTATGGTTACTCTCAAATCTCCAATAATCAATTCGATTCTTGTCCCTATTTCTTTTTTTTCAAAGTGCATCTATTATCTTTGTTTTTGGTTTAAGAGCTTATTTCCGAACTGAATGAAATCTTAACATAAGGTAACACCGAGAAAGAAGGTCAATGGAAGAAGAATCTTAAAGAAGAGACATTAAAGATTTTTGAGTTTTTTCCTCAAAATATTTAAGGATCTTATCAGATTTCTAAGCGTCATTGTGTATTTTAATCAATAACGAATAATCATCTGAGTAGGTTCTATACTCCCAATAAAAAAAAAATTCAATTTTCAAGTTCTGAAAAACAAACAAACATAGCTTTTAGCTTTTTATGCTTCTTCATCATATAAATCAAATATGCATGTGGAACATTAAAATCAAAGACAATAACTTCATATAACATATTCTTAATATTCTTAAGAATCTAAAATGACTTTAACCTCACCAGAATTAGCATATGGTTAACTCTTTTCATTTTTTGTTTTTTAATGACTCTTCTAAATAGATGTTCGTAAAGCAAAAAATTAGATTCCAAAACTTATAAAGGCTATATAGATCTTACTAAAAATTTTTAACAAATGCATTATGTTCCCAATCACTTTTTTCAATGAATCTTTTTGTTCTATATATATCATGAATCATAACAAATAACATTCAATACATACATACAACTTAACAAAATTATATTAAAAAAAGCCTGCGGCTTGGCGCGAGTTTCGCCTTAGTTACCCTAATGACTACTCTCTCAAAGAAAGAGATTGTTATAGCACTTAGGGATCGAATTCGACAAAGTTCTAGGATCACACAGTAGATTAACAGTTTCGAATAAAGCTAAACAGAGAATGTAATAAAAGTAAAAGACAAGAAAAGAAATAAAAGAGATTGTAGATTCTGATGATAAAGACGTCGGGTTTTAGGAAATTCTTAGGAAATATCAGAATAGTATATCTAGCAGTAAATTAGGATTATTATCGAACCACTCTAGAACACAAATCACTAATATAAAGGAACCGGTGGTGTTCCGCGAAACTCAGTATGCTTAATAGTATTGATCCCAACTCTCTTGTAAATCCCTAGAACTAAGCAAGCATTATAATCAGGTTTGATAAGTTCACCTAAGTAATGGACGCTAGCACGCATTTAAATACTAGGCTTATCTAAGATAGTTCCAGTAATAGATACCTATGGTGGGCATACCTATTATCCTAAAATCAAGTTCTACTTAGTTACTCTAAAACTAGCATTAAGAACAATCGAAGATGAAGAATTTTAAATATTATCCTAACAAGGTTTTCGATCTACTAATTCATCCAAATCCCTAATGAGAATCCCTAAACCCAACAAGAGAACTACTAAGCATGATCATAGAAGAACAAAACATGATTGAATAAGAAATCAATAATGAAATTAAGAAGAGAAAAGAGTTTAGAAGAATCTTCTCTAAAAGGAGTCTCCACAGGGTTTTGCTTCCAAGTATAAAAGAGATAATAAGAGTTAGGTCTAAACAATGACCATAAAAATTAATACATAAGTCCTAAAAACGTTTGGGCCTTCTTTGGAAATAAGGGACAGTTCTGGGCCGAATTTGGAAATCTTCAAAACACGAATAAGTTGCGCAATTGAATTGCCTTCAGGTATTGGTGTCGCTTGACACCAGGGGTTGTGTTTATCGACACCTACGTCAATTTCCGTCTCCGAATTGTTTATGCAGCTTAAGTTGTCTATGTTGCTCCAGAATGCTCCATAATCTCCAAATGCATCCCAAACATGTAAAGACCTTAAAAAGAGTAGAAAAGACTCTACAAATAACAAATGGACTCTAAAACCTATACCTAAATCATAGCTAAAAGCAGTGAAAATCGAGGTATATCATACCCCAATTTGGTGTAGGTTGTTGTGTTCTCCATTTTGAAGCATTTGGTGAATTGCACTATTGTCGATCATTTGGTGATGAACCGCATTTATGAGCATTTGGTGGTGTACCCCATTATTGAACACTTGGTGATGAACTCTATTGAGGAGCATTTGGTGGTGTACTCCATTGTGGAGCATTTGGTGGTCTACCCCATTGTGGAGCATTTGGTGGTGTACCCAGTGGCCACCTGAAGTTTGACCCCATGAATTACCACTAAAGTATGGACTGTCATAAGGAAAATTACCAGACATTGGACTGCCATAAGAAGGATTGAGAAGCTCCCCGATCTAGGTAGCTTTGTTCTTGATTGCTTAATAATACCTACTAGCAGATTTAGTCACTCCTTGTGTTATCTGGGATCAAGCATCAACCTCATGCCCAAGTCTGTTGCTGAGAGGCTAGACATGACCCGATCTGTTTACACACTACTTTGGAAGGCGAGATTGCAATCCGCTAAGCAGCACAAGTCCCTTGTCACTCCATCCAAGTCCTAAATTCCGCCAAGTCAAGCTATTAACTGTAAAGAAGCGCTTAGTAGGAGGCAATCACCCATTGGTAGGATTGTTCTTTTCTTTTCTTTTATTTTTTTAATTTTTGGTTTTTTTTCCCGTTCTTTGCGAATTTGAATGCCACTAAGGAAAGTGACGTTTAAGTTTAGGGAGACGTTTACTAACTTTACTTTTATTTTTGATTCTTATTATTCTTTTGTTTTTTATGTTATTGATTCATTTTCTTTTGGTTTAATTAGCTCAATAACCAAATTTTGTAATGTTATTAAATA